GCGAGAATGAATTTCAGGAGGACAGAGCGTTCGTAGCACCAGCTTCCCCCTCAGCAGCGCTCAGCGACACCCTTCCCGAGTCAGTTTGCCGACCGGCGTGGTCTGCTAAGAATCTAGCGGCATGATTTCAATTTTTTCCCGAGCACTTCAAAATCATTTTAGTTTTATGTAATGTCTGATTTGAAGGACCTTCTACATTCGGAAAACAATTTTCTTTTAAGACTTGATTCATGTGGGCCAACAGGAGAAAGTCACACGGGGCGATGTCCGGTGAGTACGGGAGGTGGAGAAGCGGTGTCATGCCATTTCTGCTTAAAAATTGTTGTACTTACAGGGCAGCATGTGCTGGGGCATTGTCGTGATAAAGCTAGCACCCCCCCCCCCCCTTCCACTCCCATCTGAGCGTTAATGCCTTACTGAGTTTCGCCAGCGTTGCCACATTTCCAGGTGAAACACCTGATTTACAGTTTCACCAGTGGGAACAAACTTGGCGTAAAAGATGCCAACTTTTGTTTGTGTTTTCATCACTTGAAGACGTTGAGGGTCACCATGAACGAGGTTGGTCGTCGTTCAATAATTCACCGGCCTTAAAGCGAAGACTTCGCTCGTAGACCCGCGATTTTTTTTTATCGGCGTCTTCTTTGTAAGCTCTTTGAAGCATTACGAGAGTTTCCGCCGCCGTTCTTCCTAAAAGGAAACAAAATTTCACAGCCGCACGCTGCTTCTTTACCTCAAATATTGCAACAACAAAAATTCGAGGAATGATGTTGAAGCGTTTGGGGAAAAACATTCCAACAGGCCGCTAGAACTTTACCAGAAAATGCCGGTCGGAAATCTAGATAGACCAACTGACTTACTTTCGAACGAACCAGCCAATAAATATATTTCGAACAAACCGAATCAAGATTAGACCTTCCACTGAAACAAGTAGCCAAGTGAAATCTCCAAGAAGCTGAATGTTCAGGCGGTGGTAACCTGCCAAATCGATAGCCTCGACTAAAAATAGTTTCATTGCATCAATTGCCGAAGTAAATGTGAAACACATGCACATAAAGACAGGCATTGTACGATGGTTCCCACATCAATCGTAGCTGGCATCCTATGACACTGAATCATAGAGCAGAACATCAAAACTGAAGCACACAAACGGCGAAAGAGGAGCGAGTTCGGGATCGAGCTGTTACTTACAATAGCACAAATAGCGCCCGGGATGACGCAACAAGCTTATAAAAGCCAATTACTCCACTGCCACTGAATTGGAACTCGCAACTTAATTGAAAGTTCAAGCGCTACATAGATTCGGGATATCAAAACAATGATGGGTGCAGCTCAGAAATTCAGCCGAAGTCCGAACTTGAAGAAAAAAGTACTGGCGACACCATCACACACCTCTCAGCGTGTTTCCAGTGTCGATCTCCAGTCTCAGTGTTCAATAAGATCAGATATACGAGTAGTGAGTTTTTAATACAATTCTTGACAATAAAATACTGCAAAAAGAATATTCTTGCCTCCCATTCCGGCATACACTCACGTTCAACCAAGCGCACCGTCGTTTGTTGTTATTTGTAATATACCGAATCTGCCGAACTTCAGGTTTAGCGAACTTCGGCCCATGCCGCGCGTTTGAAGAAGAGTTCGGCAAAGATTCGGCAAAAATTGAGCAAACGTCTGCGCACGCCCGAGAACGCGACGGGGATGGACAGGGTCAAAAATTGCAAGTAGAAGCTGCGGTCGTGTGTTTACCCTCGTACAGTGTTGTACTACCAGCGGTTATGGCGAGGTGCGGACTATGTGGTAACTGCCTGTTTCTCAGCCTTGGTGAGTGTGATTTTATTTAATATATATTGCCTCAAGAGCAGAAAATCGAGCAGGAATTTAGACAGCCCACTACGAAAGTGACAAATAATGCGGTACATTCTGGTTAACATGATTTTCATTTAACGTTTCCGCTGATGTAACGAGGTAGTTGCAACATTGACTGACAAGTACTTTAAAGCACTCCTCCGAATTGTAGCAATCCTGCTTTCGGCTCACAAAAAGCTTGGGCCAAAACGAAAAAAAAATATTGCTTTTTAATTAACGTTATTTCGCGGTTCCCCCCCCCCCCCCCTCCCCCCTCAGCTATCCGCATAAAACTATAAACCCAGAACTACCATCCTCGACGTAGCACGTACAACCGACCATTCCTAGCTCTTCCCATCTTCCTAAACGTCCGCGTGTATCCAACCTCAAAAACCGGCATTTTAAAAGTTAAAAACGAGACGTTGCGAATATGGGACGCAGACTTTCAAGCAAAGCTGGCATCAATTGACTCAAATTGAGAAATATACATATTAACAATAATGTTGTTATCTCTTCTGGTGAAGCCTCAGCAGCCGTTGCATTCATTTTCGCGCATGAAAAGGTGACTCGCAGAGTAAGTAATAACACAGTGTTACCGCCTTTATTTCAACAATGTACACACATGCAATGGAGGCTTGCGCTGACGAGGCCACAAAACCGGAACTCGCGTATCGTGACTACGTCCGCTACTACTCCACCTCGTTGTCACACCACGCCTGCAAAAGATCCCTGTAAAATTGCCACTAAAAACACAAAAACGACACGGATATAAGTACCGTGTAGAATGTCACCTTATTTAGTATTAACGGTGTCAATATGCATTTAAAAAATCTAAGAACTTGCTTTTTGCCCGAAAAAACAAAATATAATATTTTCGGTCTGGCAACTAAGATTTTTGCCGAATCTTTGCCGTAGTTTTGAGAAAAGTTCGCCCAATCTTTTATTTGGCTAAATACGGCATATCCCTACTTGTTACGATGCTCACCTGTCTCCAATGGATGAACAAATACCGTAGACACTAATACAGGAAACTCCGGTGTAAAATAGGAGACGGAAGTAAAAAGCAATCCTGGCGGTATGGAGTGGACAACTCGCCACTTTCGCCGGAAATGAATCAAGTGGGTGTGACTCACTAGAGGAATTGATAAACTATAAAATATACATTTTTTTTTCTTTGGAGCATAGGGAGCATAAGCTCGTGATATTGGACCTCTTGGTATTTTGATGTCAAAATGCAGTGTTGTATAGACCAGTCGGGATTTGTATAGCGATTTTGTACAATCTAAATAATTATTAACCTGTTCTGAGCTTGTTGATTTATTTGTTTTTTTCCTACCGAAACATGTCTTATTAGATGTCCTTGGCTCCAAGTGACCATAATTGGCAATAGGCATCAATATTTTGTGAGATCGACTTGATATGACACTAAGTGACAATAGAAGTGATTAAATATGTGATTTTTTGTTTGCTTGCACTTATGAATGGCTTCAAGTAGCTATTGTTGGCTATTAGCATCTTCTTTGACCAGATTGACCTTAAATGGTGCCAATGACTATTGATGAGATAATCGACAATTATCTATTTTTGCGTTGGTGAATGCATATGGCTTCAGCTGGCTATTATTGGCTATCAACCTTCATTTGTATATATATTTGCTAGGTATGGCTGAAAATATTAATAATCAGTAATGGAAACTGAGCTATTTCTGTTTATAAACTCGAATGACTTCAGGTGGCTATTGTTGGCTAATAGAATATATTTCTGTCCAGATTGGCTGAATGGCTGCTACTAATGGCTGTTAGTCAGTATAATAGCAATTATCTGCTGTCTGAGTCTTTATTAATGAGATTGGCTTCAAATGGCTATTATTGGTTATAAGCACCTATTTTTGAATAGATTGGCTGCAAATGACTACAACCCGCTATCAGTAGATAACTATTGCTTGAGCTATTTTTATATTTACGAAATGGAATGGCGGAGGGCAAGTTCGTCTGCTTCTTGCGCAGGGGGTAGCGGTGACGTCAGAACGCCAAGCCCTGATTGGCTGATCGCGACCCCCTATCTGAGCGTCGCCTGCTCCTTTGCAACGTCGTCTGCTCGCAACGACGTCTGCGTCTGTCTTACCTTTCTTGCGACTTTCCGAAGTGCAGAGGCCAGATTCACGAAACGATCTTACGCCAAAAATGTGCGTAAGACAAAACGTAAGAACAAATTCGTATTCACGAAACGAAATTTTCGTAAGTTTCGCGTAGGTTACGACGAAATCCTACGACAGCTCCGAAGCTGTCTTACGCACTTCTTACGATCAAATAGCATGGCGGACGGCGTCGCGGTGGCGACGACCCACGGACGTTTATTTTTCTACGTGCGCTTCTCACGCGTCCCGACAGCAAGAAAAAAGTAAAAAGTACTTGAAACAGACCACGACGAACAAGAACGCTGGATCCACAAACACCCGGGAAAAGCTCCAACGGCCACGATTTCACCGAACGCGTCCAAGCGAGCTCAGCAGTTAGGCCTAGCAGGCACTTCGCGACTCGGCGACCGTCTGCCAACGACCGGCTGGCGTGCTGAATGGAATATGCCCGCGCGACCCTTGTGAACCCTTCCAGTATTATACTTTGATCGATGACCTCAATTTTATAGTAAGAGGTCAATTTCTTCCTCTTGTTATCTCCTTGTTTCCGGAGGCAACGGTGACTCTCGCCGGTGAAAAAGCGGTGAATCTCCGACAGACGCAGGAAAGGTAAAGCAGCCATCGCTTTGACTAGCAGACGTAAAACAGACGACGTTAACTGCGCCAACCCGCCGACGCCGTTAAAGAGTGAGGGGTCTCGCCGCACACGAAAGGAGGGAAAAAGTATTTGGGAGTGAACTTGCGGACACTAACACGCTCACCTCTCAGTTCTTAGCAAACAAACCTCGGCGCCTCGGGACACCTCGCCAGTGAGTCCTTTGACTTCCCTCCTTGATGCGCGTCTGCTAGTTGTTAGACAAAAACAACGTACCGCTCGAGTTATTTCGTCTGTCCTCTCTGAAAGGCGAAGTCGAGCTCGCTCGTAAAGACCTGCACTTCCGAAAGTCGCAGGTAAGGTAAACAGACGCAGACGGGGCGCGGCATCGTCACGGAAACTACGATGACCTTGTTTTTGGTGCAGATGCTGCTATCCGCTGCCTTGTCAGCGGCGCAGCCAACTGCCCCTCCTGGATGCACACTTACCGTCAACGCCCCTTCTTTCCTGGACGCGAGCACCTTCTGCATGGTGGATATGCCCGACGCCCCGGCTTACATCCCGCCAAAACTGAACGACGAAAACCTCTTCACCTGGCAACCTGGAACGATGTCCGATGCATGTCTTCAAAAGCACTCAACGCAGCTCTACCAGTCGGCGCGCGGCATCGTCACGGAAACTACGATGACCTTGTTTTTGGTGCAGGTTAGTTACTTTAAAGATACCGCATGTTTTCACGATGATTACCCTTGCCTGCTTGCGATGTCGTGCCCCAACGACCTGGTTGATTTGTGTAAAAAAAAGCTACTGTGTCTAGTTCTGAACTATAGTTACGCGGCGTTTCTAAAGCAGCTTCTCATTCTATCGGGTGATGTAGAACTAAACCCCGGCCCCACAGAAACCATAGAAACTGATAAACTAGAGTCTATTCTAGCAGCTGTGCAGCGAATAGAGGCTGGACAGTCCGCAATGCTAGCTTCAATCACGTCGCTTTAAAACAATCAAAAAACGACCGACGCACTGGTCAATGAACTATCGGAGAGGGTCGCTACGGTCGAACGCAATCTCGCGTCGGTCCCGTTACAAGCACCCCAGAACCCACCCATTGACAACGATAACACAGTAAACTCTGAGCTCTTGGAAATTAGGACCAGGTGTGACGACGCAGAGAACAGGCTTCGGCGGTCAAATCTTTTGTTTCTTGGCATCCCAGATTCGCATTCTGAATCTTGGCTTCAGTCAGAAGAGAAGATACTCGAGTTCTGTAGGGAGAGGATTGGACTAACGCTAGATGCCAACAATCTTGAACGATCTCATCGTTTAGGTCGTTTTTGCCCTGAGAAAAACAGACTGATTATAGTAAAGTTTCTGAAGTTCAAAAATAAAACCGCAATCTTGGCATCGGGATCTAAACTGAAGGGCTCCCAATTCGCTGTCTGAGAAGACTTATCACCCTCTGTTCGATTAGCACGGAGTAAGCTGTTTCAATTCGCAACTCCACAAAACGTCCCATTCACGATTCGTTTCGATAAACTCCGTATGCTAAACAAATGCTTTGTATATGACGCTGCATCAGACCATGTAAAAGAATTTTCTGCATAACTACGCTCTGTAATAAGCCCATCTCGTAATGCTCCCAGTTCATTAACACGTACGGTAACAAAAAGTTCGTCATATCACGTTTCTTTCACTAATATTTGCAGCCTCATGCATAAAAGAGAGGTACTGTGCTGTGTTTTGGAAGATAGTAATGCTGATATTGCTGTGCTGACCGAGACATGGTTGAAGCCAGATGTTCGCGATAACGAGCTACTTCCCGATCACCTTAATCTCTGTATCTACCGAAAGGACAGGCCACTCCAACGCGGTGGGGGTGTTCTTATCGGAGTCAAAAGGCATGTCACTTCGTTCTGCATTCAGTTACAATGCAGTTTGGAAATTACTTGTGTCTGTCTTTGTTCGGCTGTAATAAAAACTGTAGTTGTTGTCTGCTACAGACCCCCGGATATTGACTCTGCATTCACAAGTGAATTGCATAAAGTCCTATTGGAGATAACTGAACGTTTTCCAAAAGCGAACCTTCTGTTAATCGGAGATTTCAACTTTCAAAATATAAGCCGGTCAAGTCTAATAGCCGACGCATCACGTGATTCTCGCGAGTTTCTGGAACTATGTTTGCTTTTTTAATCTAACCCAGGCCGTTATGAGCCCAACCCGTGGGAATAACATCCTTGACCTTGTACTCACGTCCTCCCCTGATCTTGTTCGATTCGTTACCTACAGCAATGGATTCAGTGACGATAAACGTTTGCACATCTCGCTGTCCCTTCCCATTTTGGTGAAGATGCCTGTTAAAAAGGTGATACGGGATTACAGTAGAGCAGATTTCGTGTCAATGAACAGAAATCTGACCACTTTTTTGCAGTCGTATCAAATCGATTTTAATCTAAGGAGTGTGAATGACAACTGGATTTTATATAAAAATGAATTGAATGACCTTATTCAGGCATTTGTACCTACTCTACGGATCCGAAGTGATGGTTGCCAGCCCTGGTATAACAAAAGACTTAAATCACTTGGCAATAAGAAAAAACGCCTCTTTCGCAAAGCGAGACTGACCTGCTCTTCAAATATTTGAGATAAGTATTATGATTGCCTTAAGGACTATATTCAACTAATAAAAGCTTAAAAAATATTTTAATCGGGACCTTCCAACTATCCTTCAGGACAACCCCAAAAAGTTTTGGGACATAATCACGTCAAAAAACAACAATAATATCATTCAACTTGTCGATGGGGGTGGAAATTCAGTTGAGGAAGAAATGTGCTCAGAGGTAATGAATAGCTTTTTCGCATCCATCTCCACGGACGAGTGTCCTTTAAATGTGCCTGAGCTACCCGCCGTTCACTACGAGCCCATGTGGTCGCGGGTTCGATACGCGGTGGTGCTTCTTTTTTTTTTTCTCGAACTTTTTGTTTTATCGAGGCATTTGGCGATATTTATGAGTGCGTATAGCTTTACTCTTATATAAATGCTGCCCTTGTTGATGAAATTCCCTTGTCAGTGGCAGTCAGACGTCATCTGATGGACCATCAGATGACGTCTGATGGTCCATCACGTTCCACCAAGGCTGCTGACTGGCAGTCAGTGTCCCAAATTACGTAGCTTGATGGAATTTTCAATAGGGTCTGTTCACAACCCACAACACTGCCATCACGATGTCGCTGACACGCAGAAATACAGAACCACGTTGACGATGTTGCTAACACGCAGAAATACAGAATCACGTTGAATGCCGGTTGGCACTCGGCACGGGACAACAGAACCGAACTCAGCACGGAAGGCACCCAGGCAGCCGGCAGGAAAACCTGCCTGCATTGGACGCAGTTCCCGCGATTTCCATAACGTCGAAAACGTCGACACAGTTCCTCGTGGTTTCGCTGCTGTAGTTACGCGTGTGTCCCGCAAATCGGAGACGGCCGTCTTACCCAGCGTATGTAGCGCTGCTGGCGCTGCTCCGGAACCTCGCTGTTTCTAGCGGCTCCGTTAGCTCGTTTGATAAAATTAGTGGTAAAAAGTCAATGCAACCGAAATTTTCTGCACGTTTGGACTAGAAGACAAAATTACAGGCGGCCTTCGCTGCCGCTGAATCTCAATCAACTCAACATTAATTAATTAAAAAACGTGCGCGATGTGCTCGAAAAACAAAACCGAAAGAAGATGAGTCGGGAGGGCGAAAACTTTCTCCGGTCTGCCTGGAGAAGGAGGAAAACGTCTCGGTGAATAATAAGGACTTTAATTTTCCTTTCATCGGTCTGGGTTTGTTTATGTGTGTTTTGGTAAATAAAAATTAAAAAAAAACTTGACGAAAAAAAAAGCCCGTTCCTTTAGGGATCGAACCTTTGACCCCTTGGTCAGTAGCGCGATGTTTTCCCCTGCGCCAACTCAACAAGGAGAAACTCGTCCTCCTCTATTCATCCGAACTGTCGGTCCTCCCTTCTCAGGGCAACTTGTCCGCAACAAGGAGGAACAGTCGCTGTTGCTACCTTTCTCCTCCTTTTTTTCTTAGAGTGCGACTGCCAGGCTTTGCAGCGAGTAAGCCGACACCGGCCACCATCTCCTTGAATGCGCTGAACACGACGGCGCTCGAACAGTGCTGAAGGCGGCCAGCGCCGAACCATGGTGCACCTGTGGAACCAAGAGAGAATCAAAACAGACCAAGGGGCAAGCCCTGAAAGCCATGCATGCTCACCTTGCTGGAGGAAATTGGTCCGCTCCAAAAATCCGCCAATCCGCTGTCGTGGGCTAACCGGAACTGCCCACGACCAGAGAAAAAATGGCTATACTGGCGGCTGGCCTCCCCCGCTTGCACACACCACCCTCCCCCGCCGACCGCTGGCCTGGCAGCTCAGCAGCCTCCCCCCATCGCCGGGCGGAGAGAGGGGCAGTGTGACCTGCTCTTGGGGACCGTCTCCCGTGGAAGAACCGGTTCCCGGAACGAGTCGCTCCCGCGTGGGTCCCTCTTTCTGGAAAGCGCGCAGTGCTGTCGGCTTGTTTTTTTTGTTTTTTTTTTCGAGCGCAGCTCTTAGGGGCCCGTTTCCGGCGTGAGCGGCGTCGGCGTCGCCGTCGGCGTAACCGCGAGGTCACGTGACCCCCCCCCGAGGTCACGTGACCCCCCCCCCCCCGAGGTCACGTGACCCACCCAGGTCACGTGACACCCCTAGGTCATGTGACCCCCTGAGGTCACGTGACCACCAGAAGTCACGTGAACCCCTGAGGTGACGTGACCCCCTGAAGTCACGTGACTTCCGGGGGTCACGTGACCTAAGGGGGGCACGTGACCCACCCAGGTCACGTGACACCCCAAGGTCACGTGACCCCTGAGGTCACGTGACCCCCTTGAGGTGACGTGACCCCCTAAGGTCATGTGACCCCTTCAGGTCACGTGACCTCCAAAGGTCACGTGAGCCCTTGAGGTCATGTGACCCCCTTGAGGTCACGTGACCTCAAGGAGTCACCTATCCCTCAGTACGCTTCCCTCTTCATCCTCAAGAGCTGCGCTCCAACCGGCGTTACAGGGAATTGTAAACGGCTTTAATTTTTTTTTATATATGGTTGTACGGATTTCGCCTCCAGCGACGGGATTGCGTTCGCCTCAAAACGCCGCTCGGCCAACACCACTTGGCCAGCGGCTCGTCGATTCTCTACGTGGGGCGGTCGCCCTCAGTGGCCTCCTTGCCGACCGAACACCCGGGCAGTGACAGACGGCCCACTCGTATTTGATAGAAGAGCAGTACTAAAAATCTGGCCGTACATACACACGATCGGCATTCTTCAAATACTTTTTTTCTCGTAGCGTACAATAAGGCTATATTCTAATTCTGCGAAATGTGTTTTCTCCACCTAAGCCGTGGCCCACAGACATCTCAAGAAGCCTGAAGGTTTTCCCGACCCCACTAGAAAAGTTCTTGACAGGCTTTCAGACATTTCAAGGCATTGTAAAAGGCACTTCAAGCATTTCAAGAGCGGCTCTGACGGGGCCAGCGAATACACCAAGAAATATCGGTGCTCCCTTCAAACATCTCAGAAATTCCTGAAGTCCCCTTCACACCCTTTAAAAAAATCCTGAAGTCCTATCAGAGCGATTTTCAATAGGGGTACCATATTTTCCGGGCTATACACTTTTAAAAGTTGAAATTTTAGG